ACATAATACACATTCTTCTCAGGTACACATGGAACATTCTCCAAAATAGACAACATACTAGCACAGAGTACACACTTAAGTTAACGTGGCAAAATTGAAATTATCCCATGCAGAACATCTGACCATAATACAAATCATAAAAGAAACAGCAATAAAAGAACCACAAAAACTCTAAACAACAGTAAAAGAAACCACAAAAAAACTATATAAACACATAGAAATTAAACAATACCCTCCTGAACAACCAATGGGTCACAGAGGAAATTGAAGAAGAAAAGAAACAATATCTACAATTAAATGATAATGCTGATACAACATACTGGAAATTATGCGATGCAATGAAAGTAGTACTAAGAGAGAAATTTACAGTAGTAAATTCTCACATCAGGAAAGAGCTCAAACAACTTAATGTTCAATGTCAAATTTCTACAAAAAGTAGAAAAAAAACCCAAAGCTTGTTTGAGAGAGGAAATTACAAAGATAGATCAGAAAGTAATACATTTGAGACTAAGAAAACATTACAAAGAATCAATAAGCTGAAGAGTTGAGAAAGATTAGATAAAATTGAGAAACCCTTAGCCAACCTTATAGAAAAGAATAAAATATCCAATTCATGCAATTAGGAAAGAAAAGCATGAAATCACAACAGATCCTGTAGAAATCCAGAAGATCATCAATACTTACTTCTAGATCCTGTACTCTAATAAAACGAAAAAGAGAAAAAAAGGGGCACATTTCTAGATTCATATGAATTGCCAAAACTGAATCAAGAAGATACAAAAAGTCAATGAAATTTAAAACTGTAATTAAAAACTTTCAACAAAGAAAATACCAGGTCCTGCTGGACTACTGCTCAATTCTACAAGAAATTCAGTGAAGATCTAATGCTACTATTGCTGAAACTCTTTAATGAAAATGAAAAGGCACTAATACTCCCCAAATAATTTTTGTGGTTTTTTTTTTTCCAAATCATTTCTGGAAGCAAGTATTAACCTGAGAAGAACCCAACTAGCAAATAAAACTACAGGCCAAACTTTCTAATGAACATAGATGGAAAAATCATCAATAAGATACTGGATGTGGCAACAGAAAGCAGCAAATCAGCAAATCAGCAGAATGCTGCAATCAAACAGAATGCAGTAAATCATCAAAAAAATTTTATTCCATGACCAAGTAGGATTCATCCCAAGGATGCAGGCATGGTTCAACATATGCAAATCAGTGAATGTAATGCACCATATCAATAGAACCAAACATAAAAATCACAAGATTATCTCAACAAATGCACAGAAAGTATTTGACAAAGTCAAAAAATCTTACAGAAAAATCCCACAGAAATTTGGAATAGATGGTCTTTATCTCAATCTGAAATCATACTAAATGGTCAAAACTGAAAGCTTTCTTCTAAAATAAGTAACAAAACAATGATGTTCACTATCACCTATTCTAGGCACAAAGAAAAGGCAGAGTACATTGCAATCCCTGATTTGAAGTTATACTACAAGATTATTATGATTAAAAAAAAAATAGTATAGGCCAAAAAAAAAGACAAGGATCAATGGAACAGATTAGCAGATACAGAAACAACTACAAACACACTCAGTCACCTTATCTCTGACAAAGATGGCTTCTTTAATAAATAGTGCTGGGAACACTGGCTTTTTACTGGCCAAAGACAAAACAGACCCATGTTTATCATCATGCCCTAAACTAAAACCGAAATGGATCAAAGTTATAAATATTAAAACAGAAACACTAAATCTACTGGAAGAGAATAGGCAGAACTCTTAAAGACATAGGAGTAGGCAAAGAGTTCATGAACAAACCCAGATTACATGGGAAATACTAAAAAGAATCAGTATCTGAGATCTTATCCTATTAAAAAGCTTTTGAACAGCAAAAGAAATCACCAACAGAGTGAAAGGATCACACACACACACACAGTGGGAAAAATTTTTAGCTAATGTCCCTCAGACAAAGGACTAATATCTAGAACATACGCAAAACTGCAAAAATCAGAACCCCCAAAACTTAAAGACTTAATCCAAAATAGGTATCTGAGATAAATACATTCTTCTCAGATGAAGAAATTCAAATGGCAAACAAATATATGAAAAAATGTTCAACATCACTGGTCATTTGAGAGATGCATGTTAAAACGATACTGAGATTCCATCTCATTCAAAAAAGAATGGGTTTCATCAAGAAATCAACCAATAACAAATGCTGCAGTGGCTATAGGGGAAAAGGAACACTTTTACACTGTTAGTGAGAGCATAGACTGGTACAACCACTGTGGAAATCAGTGTGGAGATGCCTTAAAAAACTAGGATTAGTGGTCCCATTTAACTTAGCTATTTCCCTTTTGAGTATCTTCCTGTAAGAATTAAGAACATCATACTACAGTGATACATGTGCACCCATGTTTATAGCAGCACTGTTTGTAGTAGCTAACTCTTACAAACAACCCAAATGCCTAACAACCAAAGAATGGATAGAAACAATGTGTTTTTTCTATACAGTGGGGTACTACTCAGCCATAAAAAAGGACAAACTTGAGACCTTTTTAGGTAAATGGATGCACCTTGAGAACATACTCTTAAGTGAAATAAATGGCACACATGGGCAAATGTTGGATTGTCTCCCTGGTGTGAGAAACTGAAAGAGTAAATAATGACCAAAATGTGTAACACATACTGTGAAACTGGAAGAAACTGTTCAAAAGGCAAGAGGAACTAGGAATTGGGAAGGGCAAAGAAAAAAAAAAAGATAAAAGCAGGATAAAATGGAAATAAAGCTTTGTTAATAAGGAGGGAAAGAAAAGTTTGAAGGGAGAAAAACATTTGGAATAAAAGAAGAACCAAGATACATCATATTCAGGCATAAAATTCACACAATGAATATGATCATTATATTTATGTAAACTGTACTAATAATAGAAAAAGAAAATAGAACTCTGTGAAAATAAAATTTAGTAGAAACTAGTAATAAATTAGCAAAATCATTTCTAAAGTAAGAAAAAAGGTAAGGATAACCATAATCATCATTATCACTTATGATTGTTCTGGAAAGTCTAGCACTCCATTAAAGAAAAAATTATAAAGGAAAAGATAAAATCATATTTATAGGACTGTTTTCCTGGGAATTCAAGATAATTTATTAAGAGTAATAAATTTAGAAAGTTGGCCAGATACATAAATACCTATATACTAATCATAAAATATAAGAGACTATAATGGTTAAAATCTCAAAGGATTAGAGACTATAACAGTTACAGTTCCAAAAGGACTTGAGTGGCACAAATTGTTTACTTACATTTTATCTGAAAGACAATGTAGTAATGTTCTATAAAATCTTTAAAAAATGACGACAGCCTATAGTTGTATATAAGCAACATTTAGGTCAAAGTGACCTATGGACACATGATGTACACGTGGGAATTTAATATGTTAAGGATACTTCCAATTAGGAAAGAAGTGATTTTGACAAAGAATTTCAGGACAAAGTTACTGATTCATAAAAACAAAGAAAAAACCCAAAACCTGATGTTCTATAGTATATACAAAAAAGTTTTAGATGTTTAAATGAGTGAAGCCTAAAAAAATAATAACCAATATAGAAGAAGATTGTAATTTTGAAGCAGGAACTTCTTTTATATGAGATATAACCTTGGCATTTTAAACCAAAAGGCTGATACAGTTTTTAAAAAAGACTTGCCAAATATTTCACAAATGGGAAATAATATACCTGTATCTTAATGAGAAACAAAAAATGTGAAAACATGAGGCAAAATATGTAGATAGGGCATATTAACATTATGATACATCTAGACAAGAGAATATACAGTGAAATTTCAATAAATAGAGCAAAAATACAGCAAGACTTCCACTACATATATTTTAAAAAATCTGAAATAGCAGATAATAGAGCAGTATGCATAAAATATCTCATTTTCAAAAGAAAGCGAAATAACACGAATTTGTATATACACGCAAAAGAGAGGTGGAAGACTTTGGATTACCTATGGTTGGGCCGGGTTAGAAAGGTTTCACTATGCGCTTTATACATGATTTTATCATTTGAGGAGTTACTATCCCTCTCAAGTAAGGGTGACAAAATTAAGTTTCCAACAAAAGACAATTTCTCTGCTATTCTTTAAACGTCTATTCCAATCATGGTAGGGAAGCAGACCATTTTCTTTTCCCTCAATTCCACCTCACTTCATCTCCTTTACTACCACCCTCACGGTACCTTGTCCAAACAATTCCTGGGAGGCAAACGACGCTTCGCAAGGCTGCTTCACTTCTGCTTGTTACAGCACAACACTAAAGCGCAACTCCGATTGAGCATCTCCCCCTTCTTTCTCCTCCTCGACAAGAGCAGTCTTTCGCGCCTGCGACTCGCCTCAAGTTTACACCCCAGCGGGGGATTTAAATACCGTCTAGGGTCTCACGCGGCGGCGTCTCTTTTGCTCTTCCCGCCCGGCCGGGCCGCCCGTTCGCTCCTCGGCTCTGGGAAGTTAGTTCCTCAACTTCTCACTGACAGGCTATGATGACACCCTACAGGAAAGCAGAGAGGAACTGTACAACCCCTCGGGAGAAGCAGCAGAGACAGCCCCGAGCGCTCTAGCTTCAGGGAGGCGGCCGCTCGCGGAAGGAGGCCGGGCCGCTCCGGTCGCGGTCCACTGCCGCCCCGACAGCGCGGGCCTGCCGCCTCCGTCCCGGCCCACCGGGACAGGTCTTGGGAGAGCCGCCGCGCGGGGCCGGGCCGGGCCGCGTCCCTCCCCTGCAGCCCTGGAAGCGCCGGCCGCAGGCTGAGCTGAGGTCGCGGCCCGAAAAGCCCCTCGGGTTCCGCTCGGCGAACCCGGTGCCTCGCAGCCCCGCGGCTCCTCTCCGGGGCGCCCAAGCGGCAGCGCGTCCTCTCGGTCACACACACTAGTTTTCCGTGGCCATGCTCGACAGACTCAGACATACCAACTCGCTCATGAAGTTTTTACTCACGAATCATGGATTCTGCCACGCTCACACCGCGGGTCGCGGGCCCCCGGCCGGGTAACTCCAACCGGAAGTTACTTTCCGTTCCAGTTCAGAGGGCAGCGCCTGCGCGCGGAGCCAACTAGGCTCGCTCACAACCCCGCGAGGCCAGGGAGGGCCTCTCCGGCCCCGCCCCTAACAGCTCCACCCAGAAGCCCCGCCCGAGTAGCCCCGCCTCCCATCAGCCCCGCCCCCGAGTAGCCCCGCCCAGCTCCGCCCAGCCCTATCCAGCCCACCTTTTCCTACAACACTCCACCCAGTTGTACCTCCCCGGAAATGCATCTGCCACCTGAGAGCGTCAGATGTTAAGTTTCAACGTCCCTTGAGAATCTTGAATAGAATTCTGGCCAAACAATAAATGATCAGGTCAAACACCACCCTGTGTAAGAGTTACAGTACGCAAGAATCACAAGAGAGGCTTGAGATGTTTCTCCAACCTAGACGTTCCACATCAGCGAAACTATGGTGAAGCCCAGGAACCCGTGTATTCAACAGACCCTCAAATGAAATGTGTTTAATTTCAGTGCCTACTATTTGAGAAACACTACATAAACACACATTTTTCTCCCCAGCTAGTAATGCTTTTCAAAAGATTTACCTGCGAAAGTTGAATCGTTACCAATAGAACTAAAACTTTAGTAGAAATTTTGCCATGAATTAAACCACCCTCATTATTCCATTTCTTAGCCATGCTCGAATATTCTCTCAGATAAAAATTTTAAATAGATACCGTGAGAAAGATATCTTTTTTCTCTTAGAGCAAGAGGATCAGGTTCTGGCTGCTCCAGTTCCTCCCTGTACTTCTGAGCTATGGAAGTTTGCAGTTATTTTCTCAGGCCAGTAAATCAAGTAGCATATCCTGCTAGTTGACCTGACCTTTGGGTTCAATTTTAAAAACCAAAGTCAATACATACGCTAAAAAAAAAAAAAAAAAAAAAAGACACATCTTGTATATAACATTTGGATCGAGTGAATATTTTCTTGCAGCAAGTAATTGATTTAAACATGAAAATACAGTGAAAACTCATTCCTTTTTCTAGAAAAGTTTTAAAGTCCAGAAATTCACATTTCTGTCCCTACTCATGCAAGTCTTCCCCACTGTCAGCATTCCTCTTGAGAAAACACTGTTGTAAACATTGATGTGCTGTTTTTTGTGTGGAAAAAATTTTTAGCTCCTTTAGGAAAATACAAAGACATAGGCTGCTGGACTATATGGTAAGGGTATGTTTAGTTTTGTAAGAAACTGTCAAACTATTTTTCAAAATGGTTGTACCATTTTATACTCCTACTAGCAATGAATGAGAATTCCTACTAATCCTAATCTTTGCCAGCATTTGGTACTCTCAGAGTTCTGGGTTTTGGACATTCTAATGAGCATGGAATGGCATCTAATCATTTTAATTTATAGTTTCCTGGTAACATATAAAGTATAACACCCTTTCATGTACTTGTTACCTGTGTATCTTTTGGGGAAGGTATCCAGAAAGATCTTTGGTTCCTTTTTTAAATTAGTTGTTTGTCTTCTGACTGTTGAGTTTTAGGTATTCTTTCTATATTTTATCTGACTTATTTTGTATTTTCTTGACAATATCTTTTGCAGAGCAGGTATTTTTGATTTGAACGATTTACTTACTCAGCACTACTTTTGAGTAAATTTGAAGAAGCTGCTTTGAAGTTTTCTGACTGAAACTGTATAATTTAATAACACACTCTGAAACCTGTAATTTAATAAACACTCTAAACTATGTGCAGGCATTTTGAAATATGGATGAACACTTTGATAAAGAAAAAATATATAAATACACAGATTTCATAACTCTAAGTTTTTTTTTCCACTCCCGTGATTCTATAAAATGAAGAGAAATGGCTGTGGGTGTGAGACATGAATAGACGCCGGGTGGAATCATTTTGGTGACACGATGCCATGTAGTTTTCTTTTTCTATGGCAATTATGATTGCTTTAGAACTAACAAATGTATATTTAATGAAATTTAGGGATAGAGTTTAGACATTTATTTGAGGAATTAAAAGAATGACATAAGTTTACTTCAATTTTCCTGCATGTTAATGTATACCTCTGGTCAATTAGCAGCGATGTGGCGTTAGTATTGGAGTGGGATGTGAAGAAAATGTCTGGTTGAAGGTTTATTTAAATATTTTGGAACCCATTTTAAAAGTTGTTTAGTATTTCATTGAGAGTTCTGACTATAAATTTAGGGCCAAAGAACTTGCCAATATAGTATGAATACTTGCTATAGTTTTGAATGTCAATCAAATCTTTGATATGAAATATTACTATTTTTTATGTATTTAGTATATAGGGATCTACAGGGTCTCACTGCATAGATTGGACTCATAGTGATCCTCCTGTTTTCAGCGTCCCAAGCACTGAGATTACAGGTGTGTGCCACCATGCCCAGTCTCAAGCACCACCTCAGCATGCCCCAGGGGCAGGGCCACCATGGCACTCTGGGGATCAAATCCTGTTCCCTGAGATCTGCTTAAGCAGTTGCTTTAGTCCGCTGAGTTCTCTGGTCCTGAAATATTACTATTAATAAAGTTTAGTTGACTTTTGGTTTAAGAAAATTGATTAGCAGTTGTGTATTAGACTCTTCACCCAAAATACCTATGAAAAATAGTAAAACTATGAGGACTTATAATGCCGTAAGCAGCAGAAGGCAGGGCTGATGACTAGGGCCACCACGTGTGACGTGTGACTGAGCAGTGTGTGACTAACCAAAGCTTGCTCCCTTTCGTCAGCCTGAGCCTTCCTAGAAGAATGCTGTTTTCTAATTTACACAAAGGCACTATCAGAATAGTTCTAACTCTGGCAGAAGAAGCTTAGCACCAGAATTTGACAGGATTTTACACCACTGAAAGAATGGTAGAAGTGAAATAAATATACACCTTCTTGTTTGAAGGCAAGCCAACTTATTGACCTAAGGAAAATAAGGCTGTTACCTGCTTGTGGCACTTAGTAATGAGTTGGACAGTAGATTATCATATATTTCCTGCTGCTCCAGTGCCAGAATCATATTTTGATTATCCATTCTGGAGCTGTCATTTGGAGAATAACAATAGCCCATTGGGAGTGGATAGATATGATACTCTGTATCTAAGCATGTGAATATGCTCTCCCTGAAGATTCAAGTTTTCATCCATGTTTTGTGCCAAGAAAATAAGAACAAATATTTCTGATTAATCAAGAATTCTCCTCTTCATAATAAAATAAGAAGTCAAGGTAAGGATCTCACTTTACCCAAACATCCATAGTATCCAAGTTCATAAATGTCAGCTGCAAGCCAAAAAGTTACCTGTGAACTGTGTATGTCTATGTATCTTCTAGTTTACTATCTGTATGAAGGAAATAATAGTAACCACATAGACAATATAAAGAACCAATAAGAATTCACACATTTAGTTAGAAGGATTTTTTGTTTGCTTGTTTTGTTTTTTGGCTGGCTCAGGCTGCTAAAAGAGAGGGTCTGGTGTGGCATGTGGAGCTGGAGAGTTCCTTGTGCCTGACTGGGTTTGTCCACACAGGCGCTTAAATAACTGAGCTTACTGGCAAGGCCCCTAAGTTGAGAGGGATTTTTTTTTCTTTCTTTCTTTTTTTTTTTTTTTTTTTTTGACTGGCACAGGCTGTCTTAAGGGCGGGTCTGGTAAAGCATGTGGAGCTGAGGATCGAACCGCAGTCCCCTGTGCCTGACTGCATTTGCATGAGCAGGTGCTTAAACAACTGAGCTAACGGGCAGGCCCCCTAAAATACAATTCTTTAAAAATGTATTTGGCACAGGGTCTCACTATTGAGTTTGGACTCATAGTGATCTTCCTGTTTTTAGCCTCTCCAGTGGTGCAATTTCAGGCATGCACCACCATGCCCAGACTTGGTTGCAGGCTCAGTGTGCCCTGGGGGTGGGGCCAGTGCAGCATGTGGTGCCAGGGATCGAACCCTGGCTCCTGCACTTGCCTAAGCAGACACTTAGTCTGCTGAGCTATCTCACTGGCCCTATGATATTTATTTATTTATTTATTTATTTATTTATTTATTTATTTATTTCTGTATTTTAGGAAAGGGTCTACAGGGTATTCAGAGTCTCACTACTAGATCAGACTCATAGTGATTCTCCTGTTTACAGCCTCCCAAGTACTGGGATTACAGATGTCACCACATCCAGTTTCTCTCATTCAGTTAGGAGGGGTTACATGAAACTTGGAATGAGAAAATACAAGACTAAATATCCCTTTGAAAAGATTACACTATATATAGAAGAGTCCTCAAAATGTAAAGAAGGTGAACACTCTGGAAAATGGTTTACTAGAAGTAAAATAAATGAAATAAATCTGTACTTTATTTTGTATGAAAAAACAAGATGAAATACAAGACATGATATTCAATTAAGATCAAGAAGTACCTAGAAGCAGAAAGAAATAGAAACGACATTGGATAAGAATATAACATGCAGGGCTGGCAGGATAGCTCAGCAGACTAAAGTACCTAGCATCTCATGCAGCACCAGCCCTGCCCTCAGGGCTGGCTGAGCTGGCCAGAGTCTGGGCATGGTGGTGCATGCCTGTAATACCAGCTCTGGGGAGGTTGAAAGCAGGAGGATCACTATGAGTTAGAGCTGGGTAGTGAGACTTTGCAACAATCAAATACATGTTAAATATATATATATATATATATGATGCAATAGTAAGATTAAAATATTATTTAGATATAAGGATGAAATCAATACTGCAGAGTATTAAATCAACAATTAGAATAGAAGTGTGAAAAGTCCTCAATGTGACAGTGAAAATGACATGGGGCTCTAGCTTAGCATCCCAGTGCCTGCCTGGCAAACACAAGATCTTGAGTGTGATTCCCAGTACAAAAGAAACAAACAAACAAACAAACAAACAAAAAACACCAAAAAACAAACAAAAAAAAAAAAAAGGAAAAAAGAAAGAAAAGAAAGACAAAGAAAACCATTAAATGAAATAATGGAAAGATCATGCTTTAACTTCTTCCTGAACAAGAG